ACATCATCAATACGAGTGCAAGGTTTGCTGCTGATAACAGTGATGATGTTCCCTAGCTGGGTAATGAAACGTCTGCAAGCAAACAACCAAGCTCAGAGAGCACCAAGAACTCCACAGTTCAACTCTGAGCTACAGATATTCTACTGAAAATGTTTAGATGATGCTTCCTTGTGATCAGTAAACTGGATCATTCAGGATTCCTGACTGGGAGAAGATTAGGAGTCTGGTAGCATCTTTTCCAACTAACTCCCTTTATTAAAAGGCAAAAGCTGAGCTCACTAAAACTTCTGCCCATTAATAAAATATGTTAGTTGGAAAAGGTGCCAACAGACTCCTGATTTTCTGCTACCAAAGACTAACATAGCTCTCTTCCTCCAATGTCTACAATTGATTAGGGGGGCATTGATCCATTTCAGTTTAGACATATTGTTTCTGAAGAAACAACAATATAGGAAACTGCATATCTAAACTCCTACAGCCCTCTTTGGTTCATGTATGGAACGCTTGAAAATAGTTACGGAATCTTCCAACCCACAAAACCCAGATAATCTGCGGTAGAGATTTCATATTGCATTGACCCACCATGCTAAGCCATAATTTGTTAATTGTGGTTTAATGAATAAAGCATCACTGGCCAGATTTGCATAACAGACTAAGCCATAAATCATGGTTTTAAAACCACAGTGGCTGCATTTATTTATTTATTAAATCAATTTATATAGCCGCCCATCTCACCACAGGTGACTCTGGGCGGCGTACAACCAAGAATTTGTACGGCATGCTAAGCGAAACCCAACAAACCACATTATGGTTTGACCTGAGGCCTGAATCAGGCCACTGAAATGCATCGTTGGCAAGACCACATTATTGGAACTGCTTATGTGGTCATGTGAAGCCCCCAGCGCCTTAAGAAATTGGTCCTTATCAAAAGAGAGCAAATTCCAAGAGACGGTGCTTCAGATCAGACAGACATGCTGATGTGCTCCAACACTGCCAAGAACCCAGGGGAATTAGAATCTCTGAAGATTTGTTAGAAAATTTAATTGCACAGATTTGTAATTCAGTTGAGTATTACTAACCTCCTTTCTCCCTTGCATGCATTCATACAGTTGGTAGGCAGAGATTTTCTCTTAATTCTCCAGTGCCCCATCAGATAGGCACGGATGTGGTACTTCTTGGACATGTTTGAAATAACAGGTGGTAATGATTCAAAGCACACTAAAGTTGAGAATTCCCAAGTGATGGATCCATTAAATGAGAAGGAGTATCCCATTGCTCCATGCAGTGCTAGTAAGAGAGGCCGTGTTTCCTCCTTATTGACAGCAATTTCCATTCCCTGCCCCAGAGTAACCAGTAGGCCTGGGGAATAAGAGAAGACATCCTGTTTGGGGGTGGAGACTCAGCAGGGTCTGTTGCTGACATGTGTCTTGATTTCCCACAATGCCCTTGGATATAGTACAGTACTGTAGTGACTTCTGCAGCATTGTGGGAAATTGATGTGGTGGCTTACTACTGGACCCACATGGAGTGATGCTGTTAATATTATTCTTTCTGGGAGGCTTCACGTGTCAGACAGTGCCCTGGAAAATAAGAAACTGGCTCAGACCATCAGTATTACAATCACAGACAGCGTTCCACATAGTGGGTCACATCTTAATTGTACATATTAAACTGAGATGGGAAAACTGCTGACTTGGGTTCAAATTCTCAGTCAACTGTGAAACTTATGGATGATTTGGCGCCAGTCGCTTTCTCTTAGCCTGAGCACTCCAAGAGAAAACAAATCAACTCTTCACTATACTTTAACTACTTTAACTTGCTTGCTGTAACTTAATTAACTGGTTCCCTAACCATTTTTATAACCTAAAGTTCCATCTTTAAGAAATAAATAGGAGAGAGGTTGCATTCAATTATCTTTGGAAGGGGAAGGAGATAGGGAGGAAACAAGGATATACCCGTGAGCAACATTTTTGACAATGGAAAATAAAGCTTCTTTTTAAGTGGGCATGATGCTCCTGCAGAAGGAGTATTAATCCTTCATTTTGAAATAGTTCTCAACAAACAGCTGGACTTGGTTGGATAAATGCTGTGATGAGGACCTTCCTCAAATGTGTAAACAGTCTTGTGGAGAAAAATCAGAGGAAGGGGTACAGCGTACATTGCACTGGGCTCTGAAGGAACCGCAGAATATAAACCAAATAAACATTGTTGTCATGAGAATGATATGGGATTGTCTAGGGAATCCCTGGAAGTTGAGTTCAGCTCAAAGGAAACTTTATCTTTAGGTCACAGCCTTAAATCTTATTGATTTTAATAGGAATGAGTAGCAATTAAGTGAGCCTCATAGGCAGGGTAACAATCAAGCACGCACCTTTTCATGCACACAACGTAACTGCAAAGTAAGATTTGGGGGCAGGCAACACACACTGCCCAAACCCCAAAATTTACTAGTGTGGAAGTGCAAGGCTTTCCCACCTTAATACAGGTTCGCATGCCACATTAAGGCAAAGTGTTGTTCTGCTTGTTTGGCTGAGCGTGTTGTGTGAACCCTGGCTCAAGTGTTGCTCCCCGAAGCCCCTCACGGCGCAACCCTAACCCGCAAGAGTCAAAATCATCAATGGGAAGGTTTCTTTGCAAAGCGAGAGTGCGCATCGCAGAAATTCCGCATGCAGGATTTGCATCCTTTCCTCCAAGATCTGGGGCTGGGACGCAGCTCCGGCGGACTTGCGACCCAAACCGGCAGATGTAGAGCCACCCTGGGTCGGAAGGAGGAGTTAAAGTGATAGAGCTGTGCTCTCCTCCACGTCCTAGACGGAAAGAAGGCAGCGAATGAAGTTCGGAGGGACATTGAATCGGGATGGGAACTTCCTGTCGGCGGAGGCAGGGACGTGCGCAGGCGCGCGCGCGCAGGGGCGGGCAGGATGCGTGCTTCTCCAGCCGCTAGGGGTGGAGAAAGGGGCTGGGTCCCTGGGATCACAGCCTCCCACCCCCCCTTGCCCAGAAGAAAGGGGGCTGGGTGGACAGGAGAGCTGGATCCCACCCCGCCACCCCAAAGAAAGACTTTTTGTGCGTGAGTACACTTTTCCCAGCAACATTGCCCTGCAGAAGCTAGGCTGGGTAGAGTTTGGGCACCAGCTGGAAAACTGAGCTGGGGTGGGGGGTGGGTGGGTGAGGGGGAAATCCTTGCTCCCTCCGCCCAGGTGGGAGGAGATCTAGGGAGGCAGATTGCAAATGGGGAGATCTCTCTCTCCCTCTCTCCCTCTCCTGGTTGGACTCCAAGAGACAGTGATGGGGCAGGCAGGACCAGTGTTGGGACCCTGGGAATTTCCATGGCTTGGTGCCAGGCAGGGGGCCAGCGTGTCGGTCCCCCCATTGGATGGTGGGGCTGCCCCATTCTGGTGCCTGTCAGCGCAACTCGCCTTTCTGTGAAGTTGCCCCAAAGAGGAATGTGACCCGCTCTTGGGCACTTGGCACCCACTCTCGGGGGCTTTCACCCCCTTCAGTAGTAGTGGGACTGTAATGATTGGTAGGGTTGGGTGAGCTTCAGAAAAGATCTCCAAGAGTCCTTTTCTGAAAGGGGCAGGGGGCAGGACTAGAATTGGGGAGACCCTGGTGCAAATGCCACACTGTGGAAGCCTGGGGGAGGCTGTGGCTGCTGCCAGCCCCCTGGAGTTATTGTGGGGTTAATGTGAGAAGAGGAAGTCTTTGTCCTAGAGAGAGGACAGAAATCAATCAATCAGACATATACATCTTCTTGCTGGTAATAGTCGCCTTTACATTTTCATCTTCTTTGAAGATGCTCAGGACGGTATTCCTAGTTCCTTGTTCCCAGCTTGCATCTATGCATATCTTAACTCATGGCAGACCTCCTAGGCAGGTTAGGCTGAGAGAGAGAGCATGCAATACATCGTCATCTAACGTTTAATAACTGAGCGGGATTCTCAGATCCTTGTTCAGCATCTTAGCTCAGCACCTTCAGATGAACACAGGGTTTCTCAACTTTAGCAACTTTAAGATGTGTGGACTTCAACTCCCAGAATTCCCCAGCCATTTTTGAATTGGGGTTTTCTGACTTAGTGAAGATATGAACCCAGCTTGTGTTTATTAAGAAGCAAGCTTGACTAAATTTAGCAATAGAATGAAATAAGAGGTTAATCTTAATCTGGACAAGATTGGAAATCTGGAAAATGTGAGTTTGTCTGAGCATGCTTTACAGTTTGTGTACCTCTCATCCTTATTAATTTGGCCTTCACCTTGCATTTATAGCAGGAACAGGACACATTTTATTATGCAGTTATTCAATTTATCTAGTCCTTCATTTTAGAGAGGCTGACTCTGCCTTCAGCCTGTGATCCAAATGTCATCTGCCAGTCTGATTTTGAGATTGGAAGCATTTTCTATGCTTGTTAGAGGTGGTTTAAGAATGTATTTACCGTATATGGAGACAGTTTTGCTATAAAGAGTCAGAGTTTGGAGGTAGATCTTGATGACTAAGTAAGGGTTTGAGTTTGGGTGTCTCTAGTCTTTATCTCCCACTCTTGCCACTGTAATACCCTAAGTTGGAAAATGGTCCATCCATTCCTGCATCCCAGAAGCTGGGCAGCTAGAGATGCTTGTGGAGAGGGAAGTAGAGGAAGGGTGGTCTGTAGAACTGGGCTGGGGGGGGCGCAGATTTCACAACCTATTTCTTTCTCCCTGTTGGGCAGGATTTCCTGGAGGGAGACTCAGCATGATTTCTTTGATGGAGCAAAGGGAAGAACTGCAAGTTGTGAATGAAGATCTGCGCCAAGAACCAGAAGAAAGGGAAAGCAGAAAAGATGCCCGCACAGGTGAGGGAACAACAAAACTCTCTTGGATCAGGGAATGGCCAGCAAAGTCCCTGAAACATTCTGAGATCTATTTCAGTATTTCTCAACCTGAGCAACTTTAAGATGTGTGGACTTCAACTCCCAGAATTCCACTTTAAGATGTGTGGACTTCAACTCCCAGAATTCCACTTTAAGATGTGTGGACTTCAACTCCCAGAATTCCACTTTAAGATGTGTGGACTTCAACTCCCAGAATTCCACTTTAAGATGTGTGGACTTCAACTCCCAGAATTCCCCAGCCAGCTGGGGAATTCTGGGAGTTGAAATCCACACATCTTAAAGTTGTTCAGGTTGATCCCTGATCTCACAGGCGGGAGCTCAGTGGCATAATAAAGTCTGCCCCCACTTTTATGTAAGTACTTTCCAGTTCCGGAAAGTTAGATGAATATACCTAATTTCATCCATACCATCCTTATGTCTTGTGAATAGAAGTTGGGTGTGTTTGTTGGAATGGTGATATTGGGAGAAACTTTTTCTCCTTTCCTAGCACCATCCAAGCACTTAACAATATAATTATTTTGCCAGATTATTAGAGCTGCAAGTCAAAGCTATTAAGCAATATAGCATTTATACATACTGACCTTCAGAAGCCTCCTTTTTTTTTCTGCTCTGGAACTTCAAGCAGGACCAGGTGCTAAAACTACTCCTGTTTTAATTTTCCAGCTTCCATGATGTAGTATTGCACCAGGTTGTGGTAACAGGTTAAAATGGTCCCCCCTCTAGCACTGAGCAGTGCAACCGGAATAGCTGCCAGATAAATTTGCCCAGAAAAACAGGAGTTGTAGTCCAGCTTCTGCAGAGGACAACACAGTCAACCTAACCTAATCCAGAATTCAGAGGTGTTTTAACTTAGAGTGTTGTGTGAACCAGGCCCTGCCCTTCCAGAGAAATGCCTAATCCAGATTCAAAATCTGATCAGTCTTCCTCTTCCTGCTGTCTTCTACCAAAAGGATAATTCCAGACAAGTTTGCATTATGCTCTTGTTCCCTTTTTGTAAACTTTCTCTCGTTCATCCTTTTGTCTTTGTGCTCGCTGGAAAAAAAATCCCTGAGGAAAAAATGGAACGGTTGCAGAGATCTTCTGATTGGAATTGCTAAGAATCTTTTCTGGGGAAGGATCTCCCCCCTCCCACTTTTAAAAATGTGAATGCGCCCTGGGATTGTGAGATGGCTTGGATGGTTGGGAACTGTTTTACGTTGTTGTTAGAATAGGTAGTTTCTGCACTGCTGAGAATGGTCTCCTCTCGGAATCCATTTCCTGCATTTAGAACCAACTTGGGAGGTCCTACATTTTATAGAAATCAGATTAGCTGCCGTGAGATATGAGACCTCTTTGATGGTCAGTTCAGCCTTTGGATTTCCTGTCTGCAGCATTCCAGAAAGGGGTTAAAGCCTGATTGATTTAGTATAGGGTATTTGGGATTAATCCTTAATACTGAGTATTTTTGGTTTAGGGGTATTTTTGGGGAGCTGTATTGCAGCCTGTTGACTGTTTTACAGATGCTTTTATGAAGTTGTAGTCTTTTTAAAAGGTTTTTAGAATGGCTTTTATGTGATGGTTTTGTGCACAGTTTGGAGGCTATGAGCCAAAATTGCCCAGAGAAATAAATCTGTGGGTTGCTATTAATCTCAAACTGTTCCCACTCCCTACTCCCTTTGTACATAGAAAAACAAGTTTCTCAGTACTGAATTCATATGTATCTAAAACAGTAAGATTTGAATCAGGCTAATTGTGTAAATTTAGACATTATTGGACAAGCAGGAGCCACAGAAACATTTAGATAAAAAGAAGGATTCTTATTTACATTGTTGTTAATAAATAAAGCTACCTGGGTTTCTTCTTTTCTTTAAAATCTTATTTATTTACTTATGGGGCTGTTTCTTCCCGGTTGTCTCTACCCATCGTACCTGATCTGGGAGGAGCAACATGCTCCAGGTACCGTTGGCTAAGCAGGGTTCCTCAAACCTTGGCACCTTTAGATGTGTGTGGTGTACAATCCCCCAATCACCCCCCCCCCCCCCCCC